TCATTCATTAAGACAGACTAAATACTGAGTTATAAAATGAGTCTAAATAAAATTTAAAAGATTTAAATATGTTATCTGACAACCATGGAATAAAATAACAATAAAATAAAATATCTAGACAAATTTCAACTCTCTGAAAATACATAATGTACTTCTAYATAATCCGTGGACCAGAAGAGAAATCATAGGTAACTGGAAAATATTTCAAACTAAATAAAAAAGAAAAAATATTCAGAGATGAAGCTAAAGCACTGCTTAAATGGAAATGTAAAGTTTTAAATGCTGTATTCAGGGGAAAATAGGAAAGGTATAAAATCAATGACCTAAGGTTCTATTTTTTAAAAATTTAAAAAAGAAGAGAAAATTAATATCAGGTGGAAGTTTTAAAGGAAAGAGAAGAAAAGCAAAATGAGGTAAAAAAGAGAACCCAAAGAAAATTAACAGAGTTAAACGTTTTTTGTTTGAAAGACTAACAAAACTGATAGGGGAAGTGGGGGGAGAGGGAAAGACAGAGAAAGAGAAAACAAATTATCGATATCAAGAATGAAAGAGAAGCATCACTACAGACTCTACAGACAGTAAAAACATAATAAGGGACTTTTAGGAACAACATTGTGCCAGTAAATTTCACAACTTAGGTAAATGAGAAGWTATATTGAAAAAATTAAAACTGATACAAAATGAATTCAATTAAAGAAACTGAATTTCTAATAAAATTATGCCACAAATATATGGAATATGAATTTTATATAAMATTTTTCTGAATATAAAAGGAGGAAACCCTTTATAATTGATTATGTAATCAGACATCAAAATCAAACAAAAATGTTAAAGGAAAAGAAAATTATAGACTAACAGAGACATAAAAATCTTTAACAAAATATTAGTAAACTAAATCTGACYATATTAAAAAGGACAAAAATCATGTTCAATTGAAGTTTGCAATAAGAACACATATTGGCTTAACTTTCAAAAAGCCGTCAACATAAACCCACTACAGTAACAAAATAAATGGAGGACAACTATAGAAGCATTTGAATAATTGAAGGGAAAAAAAGAGAAAATTCAACATCCATTCATGATAAACAGTAATAAAAGAAAAATCCTCAATCTGAYAAATAACATTTATGAAAAACAGTTAAGTATATTTGATGATGAAATATTTAATTTTTTCTCTATGGCTGGGATCCTTTCTATTTAACATTGTATTATAGATCCTAAGCAATGCAATGAATAAAGGGAAAAAAGCATATATTGGAAAGAAAGAAGTAAAACTGTCTATGTATACATAGATAGTCTTGAGGAATTACAGAAAGCTACTAGAATTACTATGTGAATTTAGAAAGCTTACAGAATATAAAGTCAATATACAAAAATCAATTCTATTTCTGTACACAAGCAATGAATGGTTAAAAAATGTAAATAAATGAAATACTTAGAAATAAGTTTTAAAAAGTATGTGGAAGACCTGTACATCAAAAAAACTATAAAACACTATAAAATATAAATAAATGGAGAGATACAAAATATTTGTGGATAGGAAAACTTAGTACTATGAAGATGACACTTCTGTCTAAATTGATCTTTAGATTCAATGCACTCTCACTCAAAATACTAATAGGCTTCTTTTTTAGAAGTTGATAAGCTGACTCTAAAATTTATAGAGGAGTTTAAAAAGAACCTAGAATATTAAAATTGGTTCTGAAAAAGAACAACAAAATTAGAAGTCTTAAGTTACCAGACTCAAAACTTAAAGCTAAAGTAAGCAAAACAGCATTATAATAAGACAGTATCAAAAAGACAAGTCAAAATAACAAAATAAAATTTTAAATAAAAAGAAGTCCATACTTCTTAGGTCATTCCATATTTTTATAAAGGCACCAAATGAATCAAGTGGGAGAAATTGTAACACAGAATATTCAACAAATAATGCAGGAACAATCCTTAAGATCAAAATAAAGCAACTCNAAAAAATCAGAACATTTCCAGCATGCCAGAAAGTCTTTTAGGGCCTCCTACTCAGTCCCTCAACAGTAATCAATATTCTGATTTATTTCACCATAGATTAGCTTTGTCTGTTTTAGAACTTTATACATGGAATCATATAGCATGTATTTTTTTGAGTCTGGTTTATTCTGCTCCACATAATGTTTGAGGGATTCATCCATATTATTGTATGCAGTACAATGGGTCATTTCTTCTAGTTGATGTGTAGTATTCCATTATGTGAATATACCACAATTTATCATTCTCCTGTTGATAGCATTTGGATTGTTTCCAATTTGTGCTGTTACAAATGGTGGCTTTATGATATTATTGTATTTTTTTAGTTAGCATATCCAGTCCTGTGTGACTTAATGAAAGGATTAAATTCTAAGAGAAGCCTCAAAAAAAAAAAATAAAGCAACTCATTCCTTTCATAATATAATAAACAAAATTTGAAATAGGCCTAAATGTAAAAGTCTAAAACCAAAAAGCTTCCAGAAGAATATTATCTGTATAACTTGAGGGTAGACAGGTTTTTGGACAAGACACACAAAATTAATTACCACAAATGAGTGATAAAATTTACTGAAATTAAAAACACTATTAATCAACAGATACCAGAAAGAATATTATTATGGTTTGGACATGAGGCGTCCCAAAAAATCTCATGCTAGGCAATGCAGGAATATTCAGAGGTTAAATGATTACATTATAAGAGCTGTAACCTCATCAGTGGATTAATTCATTTGATGAATTAATAATCTGAATTAACTACTGGGTCCTAATTGTAGGCAGGTAGGGCAGGGCTGGAGGAAGTAGGACACTACAGCATCCCCTTGGGGATTATATCCTTTGGCCTTCTCACAGGCAAGCTCATACTCCCTCCCCCATACCCCTTTGTGTTTCCTGACTGCTATGACTTGAGCTGCTTTCCTTCACCACTCCCTTCCACCATGATGTTCTGCCTCTGCTTCACCTCAGGCCCACAGAGATTAAGTCTGGCTTACCACGGTCCGAACCTCTGAACAATGAGCCTAAAATAAACTTTTYCTYCTCTATGTTGTTCTTGTCAGGTATTTTGATCGTAGTGACACAAAGCTGACTAACACAAAATGATTAGAAGAACTCAGACTGGGAGAGACTATTTGTAAAATATATAACTTACAAAAAAATCAGAAATATATGAAGAATTCTTATAACTCAGTAATAAAGCAGCCCCTCAGCAGGGAGTCACCAGGAGGACTGGGCTACAAAAGCTGATACTCTTAAAGGTGAAAGGGGAAAAGGAGTTTTAAAAATAAAAACTTTGAATTCTGGTAATCTTACATCTGATATGAATAATAAAGGATACATGTTTGTACTGTCAATATTATGCTAACATCTTACTATTGAAAATTTTGTAATATTAATACATATATTATCATGTCACTGATGTTACAATTGCTCTAACATACAAATAAGAAGAGGTAGTGATTTGAACAGAATTATGTTTTAATTTTAAAGCTAGAATAATGTTAAGATAAATCATTAAATTCTCCTGATTTTTAAGAGTAAAAGTCTAAAACCAAAAAGCTTCCRGAAGAATATTATCTATGCTCTCAACAAATACCATAACTGAGTCATTTCTGAATGTTCATATTTTTTATACTATTTAAAAATTTTGGGTGTTATTGTTGAAAGAGAACTAAAAGAATTCTGAGAAACTATTCTATATCATAAGTTAATTTACCACAATTTTTTTCTAAAGAATTTATTATAGTTAGTCATAAAGGGAAAATAAAATTGAACTCAGGTAACAGTTTTTGTTATTTTCATGTAGCAATGTGAATTCTGCTCCATTAATTCTATCTATCTCTTCAAAACAAAAGAACTTATTAAAATATTGCATTGACTAGAGCAATTATTGTAGTTATATTTGTATACTTTTGTTGCTAAATGAGCAATAATCTCCAACATCAATTATTATAAAGATGTATTAAAATAAAAATAAATTAATCAGTGAAGATACTGCCTATTTTCCCATAATACCCCAGAGGTACAAAACTTGAATGCCACTCCTATTTCTTGTGAATAATTTTGTTAACAATTTTAAAAGCCCTTGAATGATAATTATTATAATCCAGCAATAAATGCTTATGCAAGCAAGGGTGTAATATAATGTGAAGACAAAAAAATAATTGATTCTCATTCTTTCTACTGTACACATTTCTTGGATACTAACACTCATTAGAATGAAAATCATTACTGTCTTGTCATGTATTTCTTTTACACATGAATGTAAACTCTGTTAAAAATGCAAACACACTCACAGTACTGGTCACAGCAGCAGTGAATAGTGAAATAAAGACATTTTCTATTTATTTTATAAAAATATTAATTCAAAACGGCTTTTCATGTGCGGTTGAATGGGCTTACCAAAATCAAACTGAAACTTGGTGAGAAGTGGATCCTGTACAGTGGAAGCTTATGAAACTAACTGAAATACTGACCTTATATGCTTGCATGAGCATATGGATGACACCTGGGGCACCATGGCACCAGTGGACCAATCGATCTGTTTCATTGCTTAATGAAGATGGATAATTCCCAGATCGAAATTTCTTGTGGCGCACATAATCGATACTAGGCTTCACCATTTCTATTAAGGTTTCTTGGTCCACTTTTGCTGCAGGCTTTAAAGAAACAAAAACAAAACAACTTTTCTGAATTTTTTTTAACCTTTGTATCAGCATAAATTACCTGGAATACTGAGGAACATATAAAATTAGAATTAATTCAATTATTTGTTTTAAATACTTAAGCAGACCTTTGTTTATTTCAACTCTTTTAAAAAATCTCTCTAAAATTTATTAGTGTCAGAAAAGATATATTTTATTTTTTACTTTGATGCATTAGGATCGTCAACTTGAAGTTGAMGAATCCAGGACTATAAAGGATTTTGTTTAGATGTTTTTTTTGTCCAAAAACTGCTCCTTGATTTTTTTCCCATGTGGCTCTTACCCCAATTCTCCCAAATTTATTAACTGACTTTGTCACTGCAGGCAAATAATAAAAATAACAACAACAACAAAATAATAATAATATTATTATTATAGAAAAATTGTTATATTTATTATTATATAATATTATATAATTGTTATTACATTATTACTAATCATTTTGGTACTGGTTATTGTTGTTGTTATTATTATTATTATTAATTATTTTGGTACTGGAATTAAACCCAGGGACACTTTACCACTAAGSTATATCCCCAATCCCTTTTATTTTTTTGTTTTGAAACAGGATCTCACTAAGTTGCTGAGGATCTTGCTAAAYTGCTGAGGCTGACTTCAAATTTGCCATCTTCCTGTCTCAGCCTCCCAAGTATCCAGAGGTAATATAAATTATAATGGTAAAGTGAAATACTACTTACAATTGTTATTATTATTGTTCTATTAAAGCCAAAGAAAATCTACAACATGATGTTTTCTTCTATAACACAAAATGAAAACCTCATTTCTTTAACAAAAAGTTAATTTTTGTTAAAAATTAACAAAAAGTTAATTTTGTTAAACACAAAGAAAAGAGATAATTTTAAGGATCACTAATGTTTCTAAATTTCACATAAGTAAAAGTACTTTATTATGTTTTTAATTTAATTTACACATTAGAAAATCTTTAAGTGTTTTCCTTGACACATATTTAGAGATTAGATTTTTGTTTTTCAAACTACAGGTCATGCAATATATTTCCAAAAAGGTTAACCAGTAATTTAAAAAAGTTTACACAGATAATATAATCAAATAGTTTTACATGTCAAAAAAATGTTTGGGAAGTTTATTTCAAAAAGCAACATTCAGTTTTCTTCCCAGGATACAACTGTGATTTTGTTTGTATTTTTGCTGTATCTTCATATTTCCTGAATATTTCTAAAAATGCCTGCATAGTGTAGACTTACTAATTCTAGACTTCATCTATGGGATTCTCCTGTGGCAGGCAGATGATTATAATTTCCCTCTTCAAATCATCCCAAGAGAATTTTATTCCATCACCAATTTTTGTTACATTCATAWTCACTGTGCTCTTTACAGACTGAACTATGTAAATATTTCTTGCTGCTTAGACAAGGAACATACTAAAGTATATATCTTAAGAGTTTTATTACTTTCAGTTTTTCCTAAAGTTAGTAACTTTCTCACTCTTTTATTTAACTGGTTTTCTTTGAATCGCCATCTAAGTTTTTTTCTCATGCACAAACAGCTTGTAAAGTCTCTCAATTTAATTTTCCACAAATGCAAAACTGCTGTGATTTTTTTTTTCCTCATGGAGAAAGCTCTTCAATCTCATTCCATTCTTAATCAGTTATTTTCTAGGACTTGTGTACAACTGCTGTACTGGGACATCCACCTGTCAACTTCATGGAGATTTCATTCCCTCTCTCTTGTTCAGGGTCTCTTTTCCTGGATCTCTCTCTTAGTTAACTCCCTTTTAGTAGCTTCCTGAGATAGGAGATAGGATGCAGGGGAATTAATATTTTCTTTTCTTTCTTTCTTTCTTTTTTTTTTTTTGGAGAGAGAGAGAGAGAGAGAGAGAGAGAGAGAGAGAGAGAGAGAGTGTTTTAATATTTATTTATTTATTTTAGTTTTTGGCAGACACAAACATCTTTGTTTGTATGTGGTGCTGAGGATCGAGCCTGGGCCACACGCATGCCAGGCATGCCAGGCAAGCGCGCTACCGCTTGAGCCATATCCCCAGCCCATGGAATTACTTTTTTTGAGACTGGGATATTTAAAACTGTCTTTGTTCTAGCCCACATTTAATTGATAATTTTCAATGCTGAAAATCATTTTTACTCAGAACATGAAGGCGTTTCCATTTCTCTTTTAGCTTCAATGAAACTGCTGCAAATTCCAATGCTATTTTGATGTCCAACCTTGGTATATGACCTTTTTCCTCTTGAAATTTTAACATATCTCTTTAAGTTTTCATAATAATGTGGTATGGATAATTTTCCCCATTTATTATATAACAACTTGGTAGGTTTTTTCCAATATGGCAACTCACTCATGTCCCTTATCTCTAGAACATATTCTTTTACTACATTTCTTAAAATTTCCTCCCTGCTATTTTGTATTCTCCTTTACCAGAAGTCCTATTAATCAGATGTTGGACCTCCTAAATTAATCCTATTATTTTCTTTTCCCACTGTTTATTTCTGTCTGCTAAGATATTTGATTTTCAAACATCATTATAATTAAAAAAAAMAMMWMTWTTTTKTKTKTGTGTGTGTGTCTTGTTTTTGTTTTATTTTGTTTTGTTTTTGGTGGTGCTGGGGATTGAACCCAGGGCCTTGTGCATGAGAGGTAAGTACTCTACCAACTAAGCTATATCCCCAGCCCCTTTTTAATTTTAAGAGCTCTTTCTTATTCCTCAAATGTTTCTTGTATGCAACTGCTTCTCTTATTTGCCTAAAGACATTAATTATTAATTTGATTTCTGTGATGTTTTCTTTTTCATCCTAGAATATATGTTCTGAGTTTCTTTTTTCAACTTGTTTAGGTCTCTCATCTTTCAAGTTGGAGACTTCCTTCAAATGTCTGAAAATTCTTTGGCTGTTTGTCTATATTTTGTATAAGGTAGTACAAAGCTCACTGAATATACTCTGCACACGGGGGGATTTGTTCAATAGTAGAAATCACTTTAGAGTTGTAGGATAATTTTTTAATCGGGATTCTACAAARAAACAGAATCAATATGGTATGTTATACAGAGAAAAAGACTTTTAAGAAACTGACCAATACACTCAAGAGTCTYGAGTCCAAATCTAAATGGGATTATCAGAAGGCTGAAGACTCAAAAGTGTTGCAGTTCATATCCACAGGTAGTCTGCTAAATAACCAGAAAGGGCTAATGTTGCAGATGAAGTGAATTCCAAATACAGTCTGCTGGAAGATAGCCTYTTACTTAGCAGGGAAGTTCTGCCTTTGGTTGTATTTAAACATTATATTGATTGGATAAAGGTCCCTACTCATATTATGGAAGACAATCTACTATACTCAAAGTCCACCAATTTAAATGTAAAACTTATTCAAAACCACCCTCACAGAAACATCCAGAATAATTTTTGACCAAATATCTGGGTACCATGGCTCAGCCAAGCTGACACATATAATTGATCATCACAGATTTCTAGCTAACTTTTTTAATGGGAACTTTCAAATACCTATGTCTGTAAATCTTTTATCTGAGCTTGTTTTCTCAAAAAAGGAGACTTCAATCCCTCATCTGGTGTATGGGTAGAGTTTTCATTGGCCAAGGGTTGGGGATATGTCTGAGGCTGGCTGTGACAGAGGGTGATCTCATCATACAACTACTTAGACTTTCATTCAAGCCCCCTTCACCAACCTCTATACCTGGCCATCTCTAATCAGAATAGTAGATTCAATTCTTTCAGACTATTGCAGTTTAGACATAAAGTGTCCCCCAAAAGCTCATGTGTGAGATAATGCAAGAAGGTTTAGATGTGAAATGATTGGGTTATGAGAGCCTTAACTCAATCAGTGAAGTAATCCTCTGATAGGGATTTACTGAGTGGTAACTGAAGACAGGTAGGATGTGGCTTGGGGAGGTGGGTCACTGGGAGCATGTATTAGGGGTATATGTTCTGTCCCTGGAAAGTGGAGTCTCTGCTTCTTGGTGGCCATGTCCTGACCTGTTTTCCTCTGTCACATTATTCCACCATGATGTTCTGCCTCACCTTGAGCCTTAAGGAATAAAGCCATCTATCTATGGACTGAGATCTCTGAAACTATAAGCCCCCAAATAAACTTTTCCTCCTCTAATTGCTCTTGTCAGGTCTTTTGGTCACAGCAACAAAAAAGCTGACTAAAACAGATCTAAATCCTTTGTCTCCAGCAGGAGTTAAGAGGAGAAATAGTCATCTCACTTTGCTGGATGGAGATACTTACAGAGAACCATTGGCTCCTTATAAAAATGTTTGTAGAGCCCTCTGCTGACCTGCCCTCACTGCCATATAGACACATGTCTCATGCCACTTTTATGGTACATGTCACTTGAAATTTCTTAGTCATAGGGTTTGCAGGAGACACTGGCTTGATTCCTTCTGGCAGCCTCTAATTTATTAAGGCACTTTTGTGTGATCTTCTTCTATCCTGTTAGGACATTTGTCATTCATTCACCTCTTTCCAGTTTATATATTCACAGTTTGGGGCTCTAGGTGTCTTCTAGTTTCATTTTGGAATGTGAGTTTCTATTATTATTATTTTGAAAGGATTTTCAAGAGAAGAATTGTTTTAGTTATGCCATTATGAATTTGAAGTTCTGTTTAAGTGACAACACACAATGGATAATACCACCACAGGACAATGCTACCACACCAGCAGGAGATGTGGAACAGGGAAAAGAAATGCAGAGTCAGCTCTCAGCCAGTGCCATCACACTGCTTAACATCTCTTTAAAAAGATAAGGATTTCTATATAGAATACTAAATAGTGTAAACATGTTTCTCACTTTAAAAGCACAAGAGGGGAAAATTTCATGATTTGTATCTCTCTCAAAGAAACTCCTAATATGCAACAAAATCAACCTCAACATCTGAATCTAAACCACATCAGTGGGGATCTCACATTATTATGTTTTTCCTAATGGTTTTATGATTTGAGGTGCCTGAGCTACCAGTTAAAACACCTTTCTGGAGTATATCCTGTGATGTTTAATTTTGTGTGTTTACTTGACTAGGTCAATAGGGTACCACAATACATTATTTCTGGGTATGTCTGTGAGTGTATTTCTGATTGAGATTAGCAATTGCATTGCTGGACTCAGTAAAGTAGGTGGTCCTTTTCAATGTGGGTAGGCTTCATCTAATCCACTGAAGTCATAAGTAGAACCAAGGAGGAAGAAGTTGCCCCTTCCCACCAGCCTGCCTACTTAGAACAAAGACATCAGGCTCTTCCTGACCCTTGACTATGATTTACACCATCAGGTCCCAAGCTTAGAAATGGCAGACTGTGGGACTTCTCAGCCACCATAATTGCACAAAGTCAATTCCTATAATAAATTCCTTCAGGTATGTGTATGTGTATTTACATCTTCTATTGGTTCTGTTTCTATAGAGAACTTTAACACACAAACATCACACTATAACATCTCTTTTAAAAAAAAGAAACTATTATTTCAAAATTCAGATAAAATTCTGGTTATTTTAGAAATGCATGCTGCACTTTTAAGAAAATCCACAACTGGAATATATGCAAGTTTACTTTTACAGTAATTAACAAAGACTACTAATTATCAGAAAAGAAAGTTTTGGTCCTGTTTAGATATGAATTTTCTATTTTATTTTTAGCATTTATTTTTTAGTTATAGGTAGACACAATACCCTTATTTTATTTTCATGTGGTGCTGAGGATCGAATCCAGTACCTCATGCATGCTAGGCAAGTTCTCTACCTCTGAGCCACAATCCCAGCTCTCTATTTTCCTTTARGCATGGTGTAGTATTTTTTTTCAAAAAGGAATTTGAAATAAAAAAATTTAAAATAGGCTTTCAGTCAAAGATATCTAAATTCTAATCCTTATTCCTTGACTCACTAGCTTTGTGATTCTGTAAAATAAAGAAAGGCATAATTTTAAGAAAGAAAAAGGAGGTTGTATACTTAGCACAGAAGGGGGCCTTAGGCAATGAGGCTAGAAGCATCCGTCGAGGTAATACCTGGGATGGGTTTCTAACTACTTCACAGAAGTGCAGGTTCTTAATTCAGTAAGTGACAAGGATAATTAAGAGACAAGATCATAACCATAGCAATAAACTTGTTAAAATTTCAGAACATGACTGATAACAAGTTGGGGTCATCTGAATATAACAAAGGTTCTGCCTCAGTTTGGATTCAAGAGGCCCTTTTACTCCCTGAAGATCCATCTGTATTAAAAAAGTTTCCACTTCAATCAGTAGGAGGACAAGGAAAGAAGAAAAGCATGGGCGAAAAACAACKAAATGTACTCTTGGGAATTCTCATGTTCATGAAGCAGAGTTTAAGCAACTGTGATTCAAAGGAGGAGCTTGTTTCAATTCAGCCAGCTTGATTTGTCTAAAAATTTCATTTCCCATTTGTATTTGACCTAATATAATATAGTTGCTGTATTAGTATTTCAGAATTTTGTTATTTACCTGCATTAACATATAGTAGATCCCAGACATGCCATGGGCTGCTCCAACATACTGCTTCCTGTGCCACTGATACAATAGGGGACAGCGATCAGTTTTTCTTTCTTCTCTTGATAAGGTTTTACCGGATTCAATAATAGCATTGACTACCTACAGAGGCAATGAGATTCCATAAATCTAAAAAATTGTACATGCATGCTGTTCTGGTCTAATTAACATTAACACTTATGTATACATAGAGAGATTATTAATCTAAAACTCTTTAAACAATTAGTAGCTAACATAGTCATTTTTATCTTATAAATTAATAAATGTGGGCAGAGAGGACTCTGAAGACAACATCAGAGTAGAAAAAGACAGAAAAAAAAAGTCTAAGAAAGGAATCAAAAGTTCTTTATAAAAAACGTCAACTAAAATCTGGAAAAACTTCCCATTAAAAATGGTCCCAGACTTTTTAGTTGCTTTGTAGCTGCAATGTTTTGCCCAAAAGACTGGCAAACACACTTTTCAGGAAAGACTGTAGGACTTAGATTCACTGATGAAAAGCTAATGCAATGTGGTCAGTTGTGGCTTGAAGGATTTTAGTCAGATCACAAGAACATCATGTTTGGAATGACTATGTGGCAAAGACACTAATTGTTTCCTCAAACCCATGTTCTTCTCATCATTTTGGTGRAGTACTCCAAGTTTTAGCTGGCATCTGGTCTCCTAGCTAGAAACAGCTGAACACAGTCATTTTTTCTAATTTCTGGCAAAGGGTTGTGAGCAGACATGAGATGGGCAACTTACATACGGAGTCCTTACAAAGGATGATACTTTTTCTCCCTTTCCCTCCTTCCTAGGACTAAGGGTACCAAACTAGCATTGGTCATGCAGGTAAAGATACGCTTTTAGCATAGCAGAGTAAAAAGAAGATAGGTCACCTCAGAGAACTAACAAAAGAAAAATAAACATTCAAACTTTTTGAAGCTGCTGTTGTTGCTTGGTTCCTGTAAAACCAGTTGTATCAATAAAAGATGGAGAAGTATATAGATTTTTGCTTTTTAGTACTGGGGATTGAACTCAGGGGCAATCTACCACTGAGCCACCTCCCCAGCTCTATTTTGAATTTTATTTAGAGACAGGGTGGAGTTCCTGCCTACTTGGTGGAGTTGCTTAGCATCTCGCTTTTGCTGAGGCTGGCTTTGAACTCCTGTCTCAGCCTCCCCAGCTGCTGGGATTATAGGCGAGCACCATGACACCCAGCAGATATTGAGTTTTTAAAAAAATATCCCTAAAAAGAAAAGCAGCTAATTTGTTATTTTTATGAGATGTTTTAAAAAGCTAATTCAACCTAGAAGCAGAGCCTTAATACTAACATAACTCCATGCTAACAGGTAGCTTTGAATACCCACAGGTGTCAGTAATCCCACAATACCTCTTTAATGGCTGATTCACACACAGTGCCAGGGCCAATCTCCGTGTTCAGGTACAGTAAGGCATACAGATAACCTGCTCGACCGAACAGCAGCTCATCAGGAAGCTCTGATTCTTGGCAGACAATGCTTCTGTGCAGCTGCAAAAGTCTAAACAACAAGAAAAAATTCTGTTTTCTCAAATGTGCATGTCTGAAATGCTTCTTTCCGAAACAAGTAACTCATCACTTTAGAAATGTATTTATTTTTAAATTTAAAACTATGATTTAAAAAAGCACCCCAAATTCCCAAAACAACTAGAATTTCTCCACTTTACTAATTCTTCTTTCAAATGTAAAAATTATGAGCAAAAAACCTGATCTGAGAATATAGCTCAGTGGTAGAGTGTGTGCTTAGCATGTACAAGTGTAACAAGGACTTAGACTTCAACTTAGACTTCACTTTTGTCTGCAAATGCCYCATGGGTGACTAAAAGCAGGAGCGAAGACTTGGCCTCTCTGCCTCCATTATCTAGGTCTGATGGATAAACATCTTGTAATGAGTTGAAGCTTTCCTTCACCCCATCCCTTGCTCAGCAACGTCAGGTGCAATTTTCTTATTTGGAAAAGGCCCAGCCTGACCAATCATGAGATAATGATGGACAAAGCACGCCTGATCAAGATCACCTATTTGGCAGTTAAGAAAAGCCTTCAACAGTGTAAACAACCTTGCACTTACTCCTCTTTCTATAAAACCTCAAAGTAATTGTCAGTCCCTCAAAGACAGGACTAAGGCCATGGGTCCCCTTGTCTTCCTGGTGTAGCTATACTGATTAAAGTTCTTTTCACACTCTATAATTACCTTTCCTGTTTAGCTTTTTAGCAAGTAGCTACGCCTACTTTTTGGATACCTAGAGTCATGCCTCTAGCTCAGGCTGTTACAAGGACCTAGGTCCCAACCTCAGCACCATTAAAGAAAGAAAGAAAAAAATCTTTCTGTTCAAAATGTATACCTTTATATTTATTCTAAACCATGTAACATAATTCATCTAGCATTAGAACAAAGTGATTTAAAATCTAAATAAAAATGGCACTGAAATGCTGCCAGTGCTTAGGAATGAGTATGAATCATTCTAACTTTCAACAGACATTAACTAACATGTACTAGATCAGGTCCTAGAACTAAGCCCTGATTTCTACTTCTTCAAGAAGGAATATAAACCAATAGGTACAATGAAACATATTCCTTACTTCAACTTCATTAATATAACTAATCAGTTAAAAGTTAAACTTTGATTAATTTATTCTTGTGGATCTACAGCACTGTGAGCTAATTTTCATGCATTGAAGGCAACCAAAAATTATTTAGGAAAAATGATTAAAGTCCCTCTGAAATTAAGAAATACTCATGCTTGAACAGAAAAAGAACATGTGATTTCACTAAAATGCTCAAGAGTGACATACAATTAAGCAAAGTGGCACACACCTGTAATCCTAGGGGCCCAGAGCCTGAGGCAGGAAGATCGCTAAGTTCAAAGCTGGCCTCAGCAACTTAGGGGGACCTTAAGCAACTTAGTGAGATCCTATCTCAAAATAAAAAAATTWAAAAACAGGCTGGGGATGTGGTTCAATGGTTAAGCACTGGGCTGGGGATGTGGCTCAAGTGGTAGCGCGCTCGCCTGGCATGCGTGCGGCCCGGGTTCGATCCTCAGCACCACATACAAACAAAGATGTTGTGTCCGCTGAAAACTAAAAAATAAATATTAAAAAAAAAATGGTTAAGCACTCCTGGGTGTAATGTCTGGTACAAAAAAAAAAAAAAAGTAGACATACAAACCCTTTTACTTCTTAGAGAAACCTATCTGCAACAGGAGAGTAAGTTAAAAATAATTTCTTTTCCGTATATTTTTCTACAGCTAGAGTTTCAACTAAGAATTTAAAGAAAATGTTTCCAGAATTAAAAACTTACTTTGTGATGCATTCCTGGGATTCACAGTCACTTTTGAGTTTATGATATATCACAGCTCCTACAGCAAGGGGCCCAGCGTCTCCACAGAGGAAAGTGACCCTGCGACCATTCAGGTTCCTAAGTGTTCTCTTTACATAATCCAGAGATCGAAGCAGGTATGTCTGGTCACAAGTGACCCGGTACAGCTGCAGGTACAAAAGGGCTATGCCTGAAATGATCCCCACCCCAAAAGAAAAATATTACTACCTTTCCTTTTTACCTTCAAGATATTTTTAAATTACATGATATAAATTCTTCTACGTAAACACTACATTTTCTGAAGGGGTAACATCAAAAAAATTATGTCAAATAGTTCTTAAAAATGAAAATTAAACCCCACAGAAATAAGAGCTGGGAAAAAAAAAAGAAACACATGTAAATTGATTATCTTGCTAACTGGTATGGCATGGTGATTCTATGCTCTTAAACAAGAGATGAAATACCAAGGCTGAAATACAGAGGATAGTCCTGCTCATTCTGTTAATTTTTATTCATTTCAAGGTTATATTCAGTCTCTTTTGTATCTCAAGTTACCTTTTCTTTTTAATTCTTATTCAATTATTTTCTCCAATGCTATCCCAAATTAAATGATTACCTTTCTGGATTTTATTGCTTTTTCTAATTTTTCTATTTGGCAGTTTTTCAATTTTCTTTAGTGATCAACCCATACAATTGATCAGTGAGTCAGATTAACATTTATAGAACACCACATGTACGGACTATCACCTACACAATCCTCCTATTTTAGATCGAATAACACACCCAGATCTTCACATGAACCAGAGAGGGGGCTTTGATACCTTTGGAGGATGATGTATATAGCTTCTTAAGCATAGTTTAATGCCTGGGTGGAAGAAGTTGCTATGGGAGGAGGAGGGTAGAAGAGTGGCTGGATTTGATCAATGTGCTCTGAATGAACCTCTGGGATTATCACACTGACCCCATCAACATGTGCAATTAATATGTGTTAACAAAAAGAAGTCAGTATGACAGTGAAGTGTTTTATTATTTAATAAAATATACTGTAGAAAAAAGTATTGAAAGAAGTGATATGATGGTGAAATGGCCAAACAAAACACCCTGTTAATGTAGAATTTATGTTCTTCAATATTCTGGTCTTTATCTAATAACATCCTCTGATTTTTACTGTTTTTTATTTTGCTTTTGAAAGTTCTCAAAATATCTAATTCTGCTTTGTTCAATTTTCCTATTCAGGGTATCCCATGACTCTTTCACATTAATGCTCAACACTTTATTTTTTTGAGCAATCCTTCTTTTGTCCTTATCCATTTCTGTAAAAAGACATTTAACCCTTACAGCATATCTGGAAGCTGAAAAAAAAAGTCTTCTGTATGAGTTGCTTATTATCTCTTCCAGTAAGTAAATGTAAATTTATGTAATCATTAGAGAAGAGTTAGAAGTTAAATACAGATAAATTTCGAACATAATAATCATTATAAAAAGTTTACAAATAAGTACTCCCTGACTGACTCAGAAACCTCTGAACAGAATACTCTCTGGTTAACCTGAGGATCTAAAAACTTATATTTAATGCTTGAGTATTTTAAAGTACATGAGGACAAATAAAAAAAAAAACGGTCATCATGCTCTGTAATTTTTTGTTAAAATGTTGACACGCACTGGGTAAAAGGCACTGTGGTAAACAGGGCTTTAGAGATGTAGGGTAAGTGTGGGAAGAGGAAATGGTCCATAGTACCGTGGTCTCCATCTTCTGGCAAGTCTTGGTCCCTAAACTGTTGAACTTCACCAGTGCCTCTCACCTCCCATTCCCTTAGAGGGCCTGGATGTCCAGAGGGAGCTGGAGTTAATTATTTCACTTCCCCAATATTGAAGGTTTACAGCCAGCTAGACTTGGGTATTTTCCTTCTCCCAGGTAGTTTGGCTATGTTAAAACTCTAGGAGGTCAGATTCTGGTAAAAGTTTCTTCAGAGGGTGGGCTTTGTTAAGAACAAAGTGCTCAGAGGTATTTCAAAATGGTTTCCATTCCCCTCCTTTTGCTCAAAGATTGATGGAATGTTTCTTCAATATTCACTGTGAAGCCCCAGTAGAACTTTTGGAGGCAAGATGCATTTGTATGAGGTCCTCTTATGATTAAGTCCCCCTGGAATTTTTCTTTCAGATTTGTTCACACTAAGCCTCCAGGATTAATCAAAGTACAATTTAGGTTTTCCTACTATTAAACAAAAATTATGGGAGCCCATTGTTTTAGATTGAACTGTTGCATGAGACCCCAGCAGACCAGAATTAACCAAAATGGAGTCACTSTTGATAAATGTTACATAAACTGAAACTTCAAGGAAGCAGAAAGACCTCCAAAAGACCAGTTTTACCCCCAAACAGATTTCAGTCTACTTGTGTCATATAATAAGGAAGTCTCTTCTGCTTTAACCCTTACAAAATAATAATAAGCTGAAGTAACTTGATCTTAACCAATCATCTTTGTACTATTCTTGTTTCCTGGTTCGGACCTTACAAAACTCATTGTTCTGCCATTGCCAGGAGGGAGCTCTCCATCTAACTTGTAGAATGAAGGCTGCCTCAATTCATGAATTATGAAGAGGCCAGTTAGATCTATTTTATGGTTTGGCTCATATGTGGAAGGCGTGGTCCCCAATGCAGCAATGTTTTTGGAAGGTAATTAGACCATAAGGGCTATGACCTCATCAATGGATAAATCCATTAATGAGTTCATGGATGATGGCATTTTTAGGAGGTGGGGCCAAGTTGAAAGAAGAAGGCCACTTAGGGCAGGTTCCAGAAGGATCTATTTTGTCCATGGCCTCTTCCCCACTTTTTCTGCTTCCAGGATACCATGAGGTGAATAGCTTTGCCCTACCACAGACTCTTCCCTATTCCAGTGATGTTCTGCTTCACCACAAGCTCAGAAACAACAGACTAGTGACCATGAATTGAAACATTTGAAACCATAAGCAAAATAAATCTTTCCCCCTTTAAGCTGATTTTCTCAAGTATTTTATCAGTGATGAAAAGTTGACTAACACAATCCATAATTAAATTTGTTCTAACCTTGTGTTTTGGCAGTAACTGGCAATAGCTCCTATTAGTTCTAATTCTCTGCATCCACCTGTCTTCCAACTTTTGGTAAAGCAATTCACCTTGTGACCTAACTTCTCTGTTAGATCTAAGAAGAGGTGATGTTTCAGTTTGTTCAGCTTTTCCCTTGTTAGGATGGAGTAACGACTCCGTACATTCCGGACTGAAAACCAGGAGTTTCCCCTTAGTTGATTTTTGTTTATTTTTCTTTGCTTTTTTCCCCCTTAATGGTTTGATTTAGTAATGTATTTATTCAGAAAATATGTATTGAAACTTTTCTAGACAAGAAAGACACTTGGCTTTTCATGGTGCTGCTGACAATTCCATGGTGTCATCTTAGTGTTACTTCAGCTTCTTGTACTTCAGTTTTTTTAAATGACTTTTGTGGGTCAATTCTTACCTTTTCAATTATTTTCTTAGTTCTGTCAATTCTTTATCATAGGCTCTTGTTTTCTGGCCCTCTCTTCTCCAAATGCCTTTATTTCTGCTTTGTGAACTTACTGCTTTAAAAAGTTTTACAAAATTCATGTTCAAAGTATTGCCAATTTTTCTTCACATTGCAGTGGCATTTCCTTATGTTTCCTTTTTCAGAATTCCTTTTATGACATTCTGAGAGTCCCTTTTTTCCCTTATATTATAACAAATTTTTTTCTTAAGTGTGAATATATTAAATATTTCTAGAAGATTCCCTAGCCAAAAAAAAAAAAATGGTTAGGGTAGCTTTCATAGTTGTTTTTGCTTTTTCTCAAGGGCATCCTCTTCTTGCAAAGTAATAAACAACAGTTTCTTTCTTTAATAGTGATGACTTCTGGTGGCCAGATTTCCTTTGATTCCCATATCTTTTCCTGTTTCAGGAGGGTGTCAGTCATGGCTGTTTCCTTCCTGCCTTAAGCCATTAGCTGGTGCCACCAARGACACCACCCCCTTTTTGAAGGTCTATACTCTTTCCTTGTACACTTTCCATGCCTCTTCTTCTCTGCTCGCCCAGCATTGCCTACTCACTTTGCACTCAGATGTGCCCACAAAAGTTCCTGTTGAGGGTGTGGCCCACTCCTTCTGGGAATTACTCCTTGTTGATTATGGAGAATGAGAAAAGCAAGATTTTGCTACTCCTGGGCCCTGTGGCTTTCCTTTCCTGCTATGTTGTGTGCGGCTTTCCACACTCATTCTGTATGTTGTTTGTTTTTTATCCAAAATTATTTGAATGAATTTTTTTGGTCTGTCTCAAAGTTTTGCAAAAAGGAATAAGTGATGAATGCTTTAWTCATTCCTCTTGCTCTGTATGGTTTTAAGAGAAAAGATGGAAAGGTACCTTCCATACTTTTTCCTAAACCCTAAAGCCCTAAGTACTATTTTATATCACTGAAACCAAATACCTCCACAGTGGTTCTACCATGATTCCAGAAGATGGCAATAGATAAGGATTCTTTAGAAATATAGATTCCCAGAGTTCCTACTGCAGTTGTCCTCTTAGTTTGTKATAAAGCTTTCTGAATGACTCTATGCAATTATTAATTATTATTAATTATTCTAATAGTTAAAAATAATTATRACAATTATTTTTAACTATTAGAGTTAAAAATAATTGTCAAAAGTAAGAGGAAATGCTGTAAGTAAAAGACTTTTTAAGGGAAACCTGTGCTATTAACAGCTATGTTATTGTTCTTTCCTGAATATARTTTTCTTCTCAAAATATTCTTTGTATTTTTCTTCTGGTTAACCACAAATATCTAATTTTACATTTAGGATATATATATAAATATATAATGTAATTATATAATGTAATTGAACTTGGTCTATGTCTATCTGGGTTTACAAGTCTGAAATATATAATTTTAATGTCACCATATAATTGTTGTACTTATAAAAGGCAAATAATAAATAAAATATCACTGAAATAAAWATAAGTACATAATTATCAAGGCTGCCATGTTTGGCTATGCATTGCAAAAATAGGTTTTGGGTTCACGGTAGCTCTAACATATATACCTGTGTCTATGCTAATTAGAAATTCAACTACAACAACTTAACAAGAAGGTTATAAAAACTGTCATTAGCAATTTAATCAGTCTTTAGTCTAATCCCTAAGAACAACGTCTGTCTTATTTCCTTTATATACCCCAAATAGCTGTTATAATGCTCTGGCTACCTGGTAAAAACAATAAAAATATAAAGATTAGTTAAAGCAAGTTAATTTTGAAATTATATTTTCTAAAAAGTGAAGTATATTACTGGTTGCCTCTTTAACCATTATTATTAAAATTTAAATAAAAATCTTTACATGTACAAATGAGTCATATTGAGTTCAGGCAGTAAGGGTAAATGGCTTATGAAACAGATCAGAGAAATCATTCAATCACAACCTATCACAAGAGTAAAGCAAGAATGATAACAAGCCAAGCAAAACAAAATACACCTGACCCCTTATGCAAGTTTACTTTTATTACACATTTAACAGCTACATATTAGGTTAACTAAATGTAAAAATATCACATACTATATACATTTTATGTCAAACTTCAGGCAGAAGATATTTCTTTAGAAATAAAATTCCAAAGAATCTCTCAATGAAGATAGTTTAAGACTTCAAGAGTATAAAACTTTACCACTTTAAAAGAAAATTTCAAAGCCAAGTCTTACATCTCATAATATAAGAAAAAAATATTAATTGCTTCTACTCCATATTCTCACCTGTCCAACCAGTATAAGCAGAGCAATCATGAGGATCAGCTGTCTTCAGCCCTTCTTCCATCTGCTGTAGAAGATCTTTGATTTTGGTCTGGATCCGCCTCACAAAATTATGAATGATCTAAGAAGCAAAAGAAAAGATAAACTTAAGTTGCACACGAATAGGACAATGTCATAATGATAGTGTAAGTCACATGAACATAACAGAACTTATTTTATGTGGCCCATTTCAATGTCTGACTACCTGGACACTACCTTGACTTTTACAGGGTTAGTATCTTACTGAGATAATGCTCTATGGGTATTACAACTCATAAGTAGGTTCACAAAAAAATAACTGGTATAAAATAAAAAATAAATAAATAAACATAAAAAAGACAGATTTGACTACACAAACATTTTAGCTTCTATAAGGTAAAACACATAAGATGATTTAAAAATTAATGACAAATAGAAAATACTTGCAATATAAGATATTATAAATCAAAAAAGAACATAATACCGAAATCAACCCAAATGATTAATGCATCTTAYACAAAAGAAAAATCAAATGAAAAACATATGCAAAATGTCCAATCCGGAGATGATTCATGAATTGCAAATAATTACAAGTGCCACAGTTTCCCTGTCAGACTAACAGAGAATACTTTTTTTTTTAATATTAAATTCTAAGGCTGCTAAGAACAAAGGAAACAGGTATTTTTTTCATTTCTGGCAGTCATTCCCAAGAGAAATATACAACATTCTTAAATACATAGTAGAATCTCTTATACTTTTGTTGATTTTAAAAGTCTATTTGCTATATCAATTGCTGAAGGGTCTTAAAAACAGTTTATGATTATAGAATTTCATTTCTGCCTTTTATGATTATTTTTCTTTCGTGTATTTTGAAGTTGTTATGTGGCATACACAAATTTGACTATTAAATCTTCCTAAAAAATTGACTCACTTTCATAATGAAATGCTCCTATTGTAGGACTATAGAAAAGAACCTGTATTGCACAATTAGAGGTGTCAAGGCAAATTTTACTGAAATTTGGGATTCTAGAATCAAACACTAAGAATTAATTTGCCACAGTATATGTAATGAAAATTCCAAGTGGCTAACCCCTGGAAATATATGTTTACATCTCAAAAAGGGATGAGAAAAGGTAAAACTGGACAATGGGCTGGTCTTATTCATATAGAAATTAGTGTACATTCCAAAGGGTTAGAGTAAGACATTTATAAGAAGATTCTCCTAGAAGSGGAAGGGTAGACATTGCCTCTTTCCCCTTTATAAAAACTGCAGAAAATTTATTTTTTTCTTCATTCTTGCCTGTAATACAACTCTGTGCATGTAGGACAGCAGACCTCACCTTCACTGCATCACCCTCGCCATTAAGAACTGAGTCACAGGGAACCACCTGCTATGTGCTGTCTGGTAAACAAAAAAATCTCTGATGCAAGAAATTTTTGTGTACATTCAGAACAAAACTAATGAAAGGTAAATATTTAAAACCTAATACTCTCTTTATCTTCTTGTCATAAAATCTATCTTATGTGATATTAAAGTCACATCAGTTTTCTTATCAATGATTACTTTTGCTGTCCATTTATTTTCAGTCTCTCTGTATTCAGAGTTAAAGTAAATATCTTGGATAGCACAGCGTTAGCTATTTTTTTTTTTTTTTTTTTTTTTTGTAGGGATGGAGAATTCCCTTCTATCACTCTTTAGTTCTTATGTGGGCTCTTTGACTGGATTGAGGAACTGAATTAATACAAGAGCTGATTAGCAAGAAAAAAAGCATATTACATGGAAATTTTTACAACAGAGTGAAGTCCAAAGAAAATGTCCAAATCAATGTTTTTATTATTTTTAGACAACAATAATTTGCAAAGGAAGAAAAGACTAATCTCTGAACTACAAATAGTAAATTCCAGAATGTCACTAAGTGATTTATGAAAGGGATG